CTTCCGGAGCCGACGAACCTGACGGTCTAGTACAGCTACCGGTCGCTCCTCGTACGAAAGGTCTGGCTGAACCTGAATATCCGAATGAGGAATGACATGATCGTGGTCGCACACGTATTTACGCAACATAGATGCATGGAAAACGTTATGAATGCCTGATAACTCGGGAGGTAGGGCTAGACGATACGTGACCTCGCCTACTCGCTCGAGAACCTCGAACGGACCGATGAATCGAGGGTGCAGCTTCCCTCTTTTTCCGAATCGAACGACTCCACGAATCGGACGAACTCTGAGAAAAGCTGGCTCGCCAACCTCAAACTGAATGTCTCGTCGATGATGATCGGCAGAAGATTTCTGTCGACTCTGAGCTTTCTTGAGTCTCTGCCGGATGAACTCGACCTGATCTGCCGTCTCCTCGATCAACTTAGGACCGAGTACTCGTCGCTCTCCGACGTCGTCCCAATAGAGAGGGGAACGACACTTGCGACCGTAAAGTGCCTCGTAAGGAGCCATCTGAATAGAAGAATGGTAGCTGTTGTTATACGCGAACTCGGCGTACGGCAACAACGACTCCCACTTAGCACCCCTGTCAACAACCAAAGCGCGAAGCATATCCTCAAACGTCTGAATAGTCCGATCGGACTGACCATCTGTCTCTGGGTGGTAGGCTGAACTGAACTCTAGCTTCGTGCCCATCGCCTCATGTAAACTGTGCCAGAATCGACTGACGAATCTGGGATCTCTGTCAGATATGATCGTAACGGGAACTCCGTGGAGTCGGATGATCCCACGGGTATATATCTCAGCCAACTTGTCCAAAGACATCTTCATCGAAACTGGTAAGAAATGAGCAACCTTAGTCAATCTGTCGACCACGACCCAGATAGCGTCGTGATGTTCAGACGACCTCGGTAATCCCGTAACGAAATCCATCGTGACTTCCTCCCACTTCTACCTCAGAATCGGTAGTGGCTGCAGGAGGCCGATCGGACTCTGATGTTCGGCTTTGACTTGCTGACAGGCAAGACATCTCCTGACGAACTCGGCGACGTCCATTTTCATGCCTCGCCACCAGAACGACCCTTTCAGGTCGTGATACATCTTCGTGCTCCCGGGATGGGCCAGATAGGGTGCGGTATGAGCCTCTGATAAAATCTCCTTCCGCAATGCCTCGACCTTCGGGACCACGATCCTGCCTCTGAAATCTAGGGCACCATCGGCACCTAGCTGAAAACCCTCGACGCCTCCGGCGCGAACCTTGGCCTCCATGACATGAATGAACTCGTCAGAAGCCTGCTCTCGCCGGATTCTCTCTCTCAGCGTCGGCTGAATCTGCATGGCACTGACACTGGCACTGGTACTCCCCGAAACGGCTATGGGAAGTGCATCGATCGCCTGAAGCTGCATCCAGGCAAAATCCTGAATCAACGGACTCTGCTGCGTAATGACGTACGTCAAGTCACCCCTCACCTTTCGGCTTAGGGCATCCGCGATAACGTTCGCCTTTCCCGGATGATACTGAATAGAGCAGTCGTAATCCTTGACGAGCTCAAGCCAACGGCGTTGTCTCATGTTAAGCTCCTTATGCGTGAAAATATACTGCAGGCTCTTATGATCTGTGAAAATCTCGCAACGTCCACCATAAAGATAATGTCGCCAGATCTTGAGAGCATGAACGACTGCTGCTAACTCCAAGTCGTGCGTCGGATAGTTCTGCTCATGCGGCTTAAGCTGACGTGAAGCATACACGACGACCTAGCCGTCCTGCATAAGGACACATCCCAAGCCCTGTCTCGAAGCATCGCTGAAGATAGT